AAAATCCCATAGAAGCTAATATCAACAAGGGTGTTATATTCTGAGATATATTTGGTTTAGAATATTTTTTACATTTTTAGACTATAGATTTGCATTCTCTTCTAAACCAAATAATTCTTACATTTTAGAGTTTCCTTTCTTTTAATCTGCCCTTTCCACATTTGGTTCTAGGTAGTGGCTTTTTCTTTTCTTTATCTCTTCCTTTCACTGGGCTATTCAAACATAAAAGCTTTTTTTTTTTTAATGCAGAGGGTAATATTATATCCTTCAAGAATATAATAAACCAAGCAAAGGAATGAAACAGACCATAACAATAGTATGACTATATATGACCTTCTGCCTGTTTGATTGGGTAGGGGTCAGGGTGAGAAGACCAGGGAAACAACATAAATAAGTTTTATTTTAAGAAATAAACTAATATAACAAATATTTTCCTGATCATCAGGCTGAGGAAGAAATAGCCCTCCAATGGCAAATGAATCCCGTCGTTTCTAGGTGAACACTCATAAGCACAATAATTGGAATCCCAGCTCATCCAGAGCTTCTTCCTCCTTTTAGGTAGGTTAGAGGTGGGTACAGAGGAGGGAAATGAAGAGAAGCCTTAGGAGTCTCAGTGGCTGTTGTAGTCACTAGCATCACAACTGATCTAGTCACCTACATTCCTTCTTATCTTGAAGCCAAGGTGAAACTCCTGCAGCTAAAGCTAGTATCTTCTTTCTCTGTGAATTCTTCCAGTCACACTGTCACTGTTCTCTGGGGGCAGACAGATCCTCTCCCTATTACAGAGATCTCTAAGAAACCTGTGCACAGCAGAGGGAGCAAGTAGCTGCTTCTGTCTGCTATCTGGTTTCCTGGAGACTGAGTGGGATCAGAAAAGGGACAGGGGCCTCTCTAAACTCCTGCCTTCCCTTCCAGGAAAGCCCCAAGAGATCTAAGGCAGCCAGCCCTCCAGCCAAATTGGCCTCCAGTCAAATTTGTTTCCACTTATCCAGATTTCTTCTCTTCTTCCCATTTACTGCATGTCATGATTTTCTCCTCTCCTTTTCAAGGCTTTCCACAAATAGCCATAAAACTGATTTGTGAAGTGTAGATTATACTTTCTCTAAGGGCCCCCACTCCCCTGGGCCCAGTGATTTGTACATATGAGTCAATCAGTACTTGGTGAATTAATGAATTATGCATAAGCAAATGAATGAATACAACTAACCAAGTTCATACTTCTGTTATCCCAAAATTGAAGAGAAAGCTCTTCAATGATTGACTTTATCTTCTACTCTTCTTTACATCAGTATTTTTACTTCAAATAGTTATCAAGATCCCATACCACTTCCTTTACAGAAAATTAAGTAATGGAGATTTCAGTCATTTCACTCTGCAAATAAATTCCCCCCACCACATCCCCAAGGTTAAGCCTTCAGATTAGGATGAAGCTCTTCAATTCCATCTGACATGAGGGTGGGAACAGGGAAGTGAGAAAAGGGGGAAAAAAGTATGGGAAATACTCCCTGAACAAACAAAACAGGAGGAGGATCCAATACCTTTAAAAAATCAGCCAAGTATAAGAAACAACTCTTGCCTCTTGAGGAAAAGACAGTAACAAACCTGATTTAAGTGAATGAAAGGCTTGGCAATAAAATAAAGCAACCCAGAGCAGTCTGGAGATACATATACCCAACTAATTGTTTCCTTCCTTTTTTGGAGACAGAGTCTGGCTTTGTTGCCCAGGCTGGAGTGAAGTGGCGTGAACATGGCTCACTGCAGCCTCAAGATATCCTCCCGACTCAGCCTCCCAAGTAGCTAGGACTACAAGTGTGTGCCATCATGTCGAGCCAATTTTTAAATTTTTTGTAGAGACAGAATGTCACTATATTTCCCAGTCAGCTCTCAAACTTCTGGGCTCAAGTGATCTTTTTGCCTTGGTCTCCCAAAATTTTGGGATCACAGCCATGAGCCACCACACCTGGCCCCAACTAACTGTTTTAAGAGAGAAAAATCATTAAAACTAAAGTTACCCTTTCCCCACGTGTCCAACTTCATGAAAATATTATTCATGTAGATATGCCTATGCACTAGTCTCTTTGAGACAAAATCAGCCAAAACAACATGCCAGTATAATAAGTCCAGAGGACTCAACTGCTGACTGAATACTTTTTTTTTTTTTTTGAGACAGAGTCTTGCTCTGTCACCCAGGCTGGAGTGCAGTGGTGTGATCTTGGCTCACTGCAACCACTGCCAGCTCCACCTCCTGGGTTCAAGTGATTCTCCTGCCTCAGCCTCCCAAGTAGCTGGGACTACAGGCCTGTACCACCACGCCTAGTTAACTTTTGTATTTTTAGTAGAGACGGGGCTTCACCATGTTGGGCAGGCTTTCTCAAACTCCTGACCTCAAGTGATCTGCGCCCCTTAGCCTCCCAAAGAGCTGGGATTATAGGCATGAGCCACCGTGCCTGGCCTGACCAAAATAAATCTTATAGGATCCCATATAATGAGACTGGTACATATTCCATCAATGATGCTGCCCACTGGTGATGAGCTCATGATGGCTGTCAGCTGAGATCTGACGTCAGCATTGCTCCTGCTTATCACACAACACTGAGCAAAGATTATAACTTTTTCACCCTCCATTTGTCATCTGCAAAATACTGATAATGAGTGTTCATATAGATTCATCGGTTAATGCTTGCAAGCACTAGGGAAATAAGCACCACTCCAGCTCTTAATGAATTACAATAACTTAATTCATGCCGTTCCAGATTCATCAACACTGAATGAAGTGCAGTTGGGTAAATAAATAGGTGAATGAGGTCCTGAAATGGTAACTGCATTCACTGTGACATGAAGATGAAGAAGCCAGCCTAAGTGCAGGTAGTACTATGGTGACGTACTTGAGACACATCTTACTTTGAGAGATAGTTTCTGTTAGTGAAATTTCAACATTATATATTGAGTGCTACTATAAGCAGTAAATATCCTGATACAGACAGAATTCGGTTTTTATGGACAAGGTTTGTAGAACCTAGTTTTAGTCACAGCTACCTGTTGGAAGAGATCAAGTGAAGTAAAATTATAGAAAACAATCAAATCTGTAAAAAAAAAATACAGTTTTGAAATGTGTTATAATTCAGTTTCTATAAGCTATACTTTTAAAAATTTGTGAAATAGGATTCATTCTATAGGAAGACACAGAAAAAAAATGTCCAAATGGAAAAAGGTTTGCTATGTTTCTAAACTTCAGTTTGATACAAGGCCATTTTGAACCTCTCATAAAATAGGGGGAGGAAAATTCCAAGAGCAGCCCAGTCTCCTATGGCTATAACAGTCCAAAAATATGCTTGAATAAAGTCTTTGCTCACAGTCCCATATCTAACCTGCATAAGCTTCACAGTGAAGGGCAGCACACCTCAAAAAAAAAAAATCAGGCTGTCACCAAGTCTTCAACTTAGAGCCAGTGAGAAGCAAATAGATGTCAGGCTTCTGGGCTGAAAGGAGAACCAGAGGGCAGAGACCAGGGCCTCTCACAAAGAGCTGGTCCCCTCTATTTCTAATTTTCATTAATATAACTGGGACTGTGTCTGCATTTTTGTAACTGACCCCCTTAGATTTCTTTTTTTGGGAGGCTCAATAGGAGACAGTTATCTAAATGACAGTTGTATAGCTTATTTATTTTCCCTACCCACAACTCTTCCCTTCACTTCACTCCAAAATATTTCCAGCATCCCTTTAAGGTAGAACAATGTGTATGAATTAATGAAGCAGGAGTCCAGCAGGACTTGTTTTCTGGTCACAACCCTGCTGAACAAAGTAAGATCTGCTCCAGATGAGATAAGGCGAAGAAACTGGCCAAAACCAGCAGACTGTGACAAGGGCAATCCCTGGCTGCCCTCATTGCTCGTTAGCATGGGACACTCCCACCAGCACCATGACAGTTTACACATGCCATGGCAATAACCCTGAAGTTACTGTCCCTTTCCTAGAAAGTTCTAAATAACCCACACCTCAATTTGTGTTAAACTGCCCCTTAATTTACATGTAACTGAAAGTGGGTATAAGTTGTATAAATACAGTTGCCAAGAGCCCATATATTGCAGAGTCTGGGCACACTACCTATGAGTTAGCGCTGTTCCACAAGGAGCAGTACTGTTCAATAAAAGATTGCTGTCTAACACCACTGGCTTGCCCTTGATTTCTTTCCTGGTGAAACTAAGAACTCCTGGGCTAACCCCCAGTTTAGGGGCTTGCCTGTCCTGTATCACTGCTAGGCCATTCAATACTCAGGGGAAGTTCACTTATATCTCAGGATATACTGAGAATTTCCAGACTAATCTCACTGTTTATCGCAACACATAAAAATAGTCAATTTAAGCTGTTCTCTATCTTCAGCCTGACTCAGTGGACAAGTATGCTGGAGGTCAGATGGGATAAAAAAATTTATAACATCTCATGAAATGTAGTAAAGATAGTTTAAAGTTCCACATTTAAGAGGATCAGGTTTACTTTCCAGTCCAGTGATTATAACACTATTTGGCTTAACATTATCAATACTAAGACATGTGAGGCCCATGTACATGAGGAATAAATGTACAATATTTATTCCTCCAATAAATAATGTGTGGCAGCACCAATATCAAGCAGTTGCCACAGGGAAATGAATATTATTGACCATTAAAAAAAGTGTACATGAGGGGGAAAAAAATCCCAAAAAGACAATCATATTCTTTATTGAAGGAGATTCACTCAAGGTTCTAAGATGCAACATTTTTCTACTTTGATAAATACGTTTTGAGTGGTCATTGCCATGACATTATTCGTATAAATGTACCATTCCATTTATTTATACACTCATTCCAACCCACCTATTTGCCTTCCCAGACTATTTGGCTGAGTGGGGTCAAATAGATAAAATAATAGGCACTATATCAGTTGCATTTAATAGCCAAATTTACCCAAAAAAGATTTTACTTGAATCACCAAAGTCTGTATAAAAACATATACCTACGTACATTGGAATCACTAAAGATTTCTGATTCTTCACATTCACAGCAAAGTAATGCTGCTGATTCACTGTCTTCCAAATGAGAGCTCTGTAATACAAACAAAATCATTTCAGAGACCCAAATGAATGGGCCCATAAGCATGAGGGGAAAAGCAAGCTGAAATCACTGAGTCAGTGGTGTTAGCTCACAGATGAGAAGCTGCAATTCTGATTAGTAATGGCTGTTTTGAGAAAATACAGACAACAAGGTGACTGGTTAGTTAATTGAGGAATGCTTGATCAACGGAAGCATTTCCTATGGTTTCCTGATTTGGGGAAAGATCCAGCACATCTTTTTCTATAAAGATGGTGCTGCTAATTCTTTATAGTATGTACTCAGAAATCTTCTTAGACTGGGGATAGATTTGTGTTCATTTATCTTCACATCCAAAGATACACATTTACTTGTTTAGAGATAGGCTATAGAATATAGCATAGGGCCTGATTAGGGGATCAAACTCTTAGCCTAGCCTCATTAGCCCTCTGCTAACAAGTGTTTATAAGAGCCAAGAGACATGCCCTACCCAAGTTCCCCAACAGATGCCAGAAAACAATTTAAAAACCTTTTCTTATATTCTCTAGTCTCTTTCTAAAAATCTGTCTAAAAGACAGATAAGGAAAATAAGGCAAGGGAGTGAAATAATTAGCTGGTAACATAGGAGTATTTTTTCCTATGATTAACAACACAAAAAAAGGGAACAGAAAAGGATCCAACTCTGACTCATTAGACTGTATTCAAATATTTGCTCTTTAGTGAAGAGCAGCTGGAAACTGAGTTATCCCTACAAGGATCATGGATGTATATGCTTATGTCATTAAAACATCTGGCTACCAGTGGCTGAAACTTGTAACTACTCCATAGCTATCCTAGTTGATTCCTACTTTAATTTTTCACAGCTAGGGCTGTGTTTTAACCTGAAGTATACCCTCAGAGATAAGAGTTTTAGAGTGCAAATAAACTTAAATATAAGAAAGTAAAGTTCAGAGTTACTCTTTCTGAAAACTGACCTGCTCCTGGCTTACTTCCTTCTCATTTTTTTTTTCTACTCCGAACCTTTGCCTACTTTTAGTTTTCTGTCTTAAAACCAAGTCTTATCTGGCATTATCCCTCTCTATTCTTCTTTTAGAAAATAATCATAAATAACCAAATATTTAAAATCACTGTTAAAAATACCACAAATGCAAGCTTCTATTTATTGCTCTCTTATATTTTGGAGAGGGGAAAATAAGAACAATTACTCTCCATCTAGCTTAAAAAATATATAAAATATTTGAAGACTTCTAGAACTCATATTAGGAAAGCTAAAAGCTAACTAATATTTGAAAGAATTAAAATGGTAGAGATCAGAGCTGCTTTCAATCTTTCCAAGCTCTCAAACTACAATAGATAATAATATAAATATTAAGTATATCAAAAGTGGCTTGTCGCCGGGCGCGGTGGCTCATGCCTATAATCCCAGCACTTTGGGAGGCCGAGGCGGGTGGATCACGAGGTCAAGAGATGGAGACCATCCTGGTCAACATGGTGAAACCCCGTCTCTACTAAAAATACAAAAATTAGCTGGGCATGGTGGCGCGTGCCTGTAGTCCCAGCTATTCAGGAGGCTGAGGCAGGAGAATTGCTTGAACCCAGGAGGTGGAGGTTGCGGTGAGCCGAGATCGTGCCATTGCACTCCAGCCTGGGTAACAAGAGCAAAACTCCGTCTCAAAAAATAAAAATAAGTGGCTTGTCACTGTTACAGTATAAAAACTGAAGAGATGCCAGGCGCAGTGGCTCATGCCTGTAATCCCAACACTTTGGGTGGATCAGCTGAGGTCAGGAGTTCAAGATCAGCCTGGCCTACATGGTAAAACCCCATTGTTACTAAAAATACAAAAAATTATCTGGGCATGGTGGTGGGTGCCTGTAATCCCAGCTACTCTGGAGGCTGAGGTAGGAGAATTGCTTAAACCTGGGAGGTGGAGGTTACAGTGAGCTGAGATCGCGCCACGAGCACTCCAACCAGGGCAACACAGAGGAGTGCCACCACACTCCATCTAATAAATAAATAAACAAACAAACAAACAAATAAATAAATAAAATAAACAATAAAAACAAAAACTGGAGAGAGCGTGAGCCCAGGAGTTTGAAACCTGTCTGGGCAACATAGTAAGACTCCATATGTATGAAAGAAAATAAAATTAGCTACGTGTGGTGGCACTCCTCTGTAACCCCAGCTAGTTAGAAAGCTGAGGTGGGAGGATCATTTTAGTTTAGGAGTTCAAGGTTTCAAGTGTGCCATAATTGTGCCACTGCAATCCAGCCTGGACAACAGAGCTAGATCCTGTCTCCAAAACAAAACAAAACAAAACAAAACAAACCTGAAAAGAGAAAAGTGTAAATTAAACCAAATTACACTAGTTAAGACGTTGCAGTTTTCATTCTTACAAATATTTCAGATTTTCACACTAGCTCTTTCAAAATGACCTTTCGGCTGGGATCCATGGCTCGTGCCTGTAATCCATGGCTCATGCCTGTAATCCCAGCACTTTGGGAGGCCAAGGTAGGTGGACCACCTGAGGTCAGGAGTTCGAGACCAGCCTGGCCAACATGGTGAAACCCATCTCTAATAAAAATACAAAAATTAGCCAGGCATAGTGGCGCTCACCTGCAATCCCAGCTACTGAGGAGGCTGAGACAGGAGAATCACTTGAACCTGGGAGGGGGAGGTTGCGGTAAGTCAAGATCACACCACCATGACTGGGTGACAGAGTGAGACTCTGTCTCACAGGAAAAAAGAAAAAAGAAAATGACCTTTCAAGAAAGTGGGCCTGTAACCACACTTGCATTCCTAAAGTTATTTTAAGACTTTACATATATATTTATTAACTGAAACAATTCAGTAGGATACAAGGTATCCATTAAGTGGGTTGACAGCATTATAACATAATTGGTTCATGGAACAAGTGTTTACTTGCAACTAACATACTAGTTATAAGTTAAATTCTGAGAAACCTAAAGGAAGACAAAGGAGAAAGGTCAAGTTCACTTCTCTGCCTCCTTCTGAGACCTGGTAACTCTAATTACTGAATTGTTTCTGGGTTCTGCAGAGTAAACAGTTTTTCTCATGACTATATGACTTACTCCGAGATTGCAAGGACAAATTAATATTTAGGAGCTCTATTAAACTACACAATATTTAAACATATGCTAAAAAGCATTTTATAAAATTAATAGTCATTTCTGGTTTCAAACAATTTTTAGTAAGCTAGGAATACAAAATGCAGCCTTAATTCATTGCATAGATGGGATTTTTAAAATTTTTTTGAGAGGATGTCTCTCTCTCTGTTGCCCAGGCTGGAGCGTAGTGGCACGATTTCAGCTCACTGCAGCCTCTGCCTTCTGGGTTCAAGCGATTCTCCTGCCTCAGTCTTCTGAATAGCTAGGACTACAGGCATGCACCACCATGCCCAGCTAATTTTTATATTTTTAGTAGAGACAGGGTTTCACCATATTGGCCAGGATGGCCTCTATCTCCTGACCTTGTGATCTGCCCACCTCAGCCTCCCGAAGTGTTGGGATTACAGGCGTGAGCCACCATGCTGGGCCTAGGTGGGCTTTCATATATAATGCCTCTCAGTGGAAGACCTTTACCTCAACCTTGTTGCCTGAATTTCATATTGTAAAAATTCCCTCAATGTTTCTTCTAGCATGAGGGTGGTGATCTTCCCCAGTTTGTAGTGCAGATAATTTCTTCTTTTGAATGTCCCTTTGGCAAAAATTCTGAAGAGACAAAGTCAAACTCATATTCTTGTATTGAAAGTATTAAGCCAAAATTTTAACTAAATTGAGTTCACATCCTAGTTCTGCCACTTACTAGCAGTGTGATTTTTAGCACATTTCTTAATTTCTCTGAGCTCAATTTCCTCATCCATAAAAATGGCCCAATAATAACATCTATTTATTAGGTTGTTGTAAAGATTGTATGAGAGATAACATAAGAAAAACATTTAGAGACATAGAGCCAGGTGTGGTAACATGTGCCTGTAGTTCTAGATACTCAGCTACTCTGGAGCCTGAGGTGAGAGGACTTGAACCCGGGAATTTAGGTCCAGCCTGCACAACATAGCAAGACTCTACAAAAAAAAAAAAAAGTAATAAAGAAATAAAGAAAAAGCACTTTGAATAACTTAGCTTCTGATGTTGCTGTATTACTGCTTCTTCTAATAATAAAAATGTTACTATAAAAATTAATCTCCTTCCTAGATCTAAAAGGCTTATACATTTGAGTTATAATTTTATTTCAAAGAAACTTTTGTCTTCAAGGGAAATTTTGCTTATATCAAATATTAAGTGTTTTTCATTCTTAAAGAATATTTTCTTTATTTAAGAAAAATTTTATGCCTGTAATCCCAGCACTTTGGGAGGCCGAGGGATCACAAGGCCAGGAAATTGAGACCATCCTTGCCAACATGGTGAAACCCCATCTCTACTAAAAATACAAAAATTAGCCAGGAGTAGTGGTGTGTACCTGTAGTCCCAGCTACTTGGGAGGCTGAGGCAGGAGAATCAATTGAACCTAGGAGGCGGAGGTTGCAGTGAGCCGAGATTACCCCACTGCACTCCAGTCTGGTGACAAAGTGAGACTTTGCCTCAAAAAAAAAGACAAAATCATATTCCTTATATAACCTGGAAGCACTGAGCTCACAATGAGTCATTCTTTGCCATTCATTTGTACTCCTACTGTGTATTAAGCACTTTTCTGGGTACTGAATTATTAATAGCTAATGTAAAACACCAAACAAAAAGGGAAAGGTAACTGAACCGGTTAAAAAAAACAGTTTTTTGCTTTTTATGGGGATGCAAAAACCACAAAGATAGGATATAACTTTGTGGAAACATGTCCCTTTGGCTAAGTACTGTGTGGAGAAAAATGGGTAAGATTGTTAGTAAGAAAAACATCCACATATAACAGGAAGTTTCAACCCATAACAGTTTCTAAGGAACAATTATAGTAATAAAATGTTGCAATTTTTATGTGGACTATATGATGAAAGAACTCATGTACT